CATAACAGTAATTCCATAAATTATTGTTGAATGAATTAATTCATAAGTCAGTTTACATTTTAATAGAAAAGTAATAATTCATTATCTTTTTAAAGCCATCTCTCTTTCCATAGTTGTTACCAGTTTCTCATTTCTAATATAAAGCAGCTGTGTTTTCTGGTGATTTGTGTGTGCATATACTACATTTTACAATCACTAGCTTTTGATTTAATTTAGAAATTCCACATTTTTCTGGACTTTAGATACTGAAATCTGCATTCATCTCTTATTTATTTCTTCATAACTGCAACAGTTTATTTTGAAACTTTTTTCTTCTTTTTTTGAACTGAATAATCAAATAACTTGTTTTCATTTTTTTTGTTCAATAATATAGGCATTGTTAAGGCTATGAATTATCCTCAAATGAAGCTTTGTCCATATTTCAAATAAGTTGTTTTCCCAGAGTTCTGTAGTTATAGCTTTGATGTACCATTTTACCTAGGAGATGCAATTTGATTGAGTTTTTTATGTATATCTATGTATATGGTAGCATAGTGATTACGAATCGGGCTGCGAACCTTAAGGTCAGTGGTTCGAAACTACCAGCCGCTCCACGGTAGAAAGATCAGGCTTTCTACTCCCGTAAAGATTTACACCCTCGGAAACCCTGTACAGGGTCGCTATGGGTCGGAACCGACTTGACGGCACTTAACAACAACAACAATGTATATGTTGCTGTTAAGTGCTATTGAGTTGGTTCCAACCCATATATATATAATTCAAACATTTGTTATTATTAGTTTCTAGCTTTGTTGCACTGCAGAAAAAATATTCTTTTGGATTTGAGATTTCCTTTATAACCCAATGGTGGATAACTGTTTTTGTTTGTTTGGGGATTTTGTTGTTGTTTATAAATCAGGTGTAGAGGGCTAAATTAGTAACACACATCTGTTCTTGTCATCATCACTGTGCTATGCAAAACCCTCCCTCCCCAACTGTTTTTCGGGCCTATCCATGTTGCTGTGCCTTCATCTTTTATATCTAATCCATTGCCTAGTGCTTCATGATGTTCATGCATCCCATTTTGCTCTCTTTTTTTCCTGGTGGAAGACATACCCAGCCCTCACCCCTTGGGTTCCACTCTATAAATATTGCTCTAATGAACATCTTCTATGTCTTTATGAACCTGTATGGAGGTTTCTTTAGGTGTGTACCTAGGAGCAGATCTCTCCGAGTCTTGATTTGACTGGATAGGGCCTGGTTGCTTTCCAGGATAGTTGCACCCCTTGCACCCCTCTGATAGCCATCTGGTTTTCTAGATCCCCACACTCTTATCCTAATAGGGTAGCAAAAAAAAAAAAAAAATAGAAGTTGGCTAAAGCCAAGAGGGCTCAAACTGCTGACCTTGTGGTTCACAGTCCAGTGCTTATCCTATACAGCCACCGTGCTCCCCATAATAAGTATTAGAGTTCCAGTTTTATTTTTGTCACACTTTCCATACTTTAAAGTTTTAGCTCCAATTGTGAATGGTAACTTCTGAACTATCTTTTTCTTACTAGTTGTCACTGACATGGAGACATGCTTAGGTTTTTTCAGGCTGATCTTGTATCACACAACCTTACTGAACGCTAGTATTGGTTCTCACATGTCCTCTGGTGATTCCGTTAGATTCTCAGGAAGATGATCATAGTAATTAAAAACAAAAGAGCAGCTTGAGCTTTTTCCTTCCGGTTACCGTGTGTATTACTTCTTTTGTATGTGACATTAGATAAGACCATCGATCCTGTCTGTGAAGGTGGGCTTCCTTGGCTGATTCCTGCTTTCCAAGGGGATACACTTAAAGCTTATCCATTAAGTATTTTGTTATATAGCCTTTGTCAAATTAGGGAAATGCCCTTCTATTTCTAATTTGTTAAGATTATATTCTTAAATAACTTAGTTGATCTTTATCAAATCTTGAAATATCCTGTACATTCATAAATATGGCTTTCTCTCAATTTCTGTTTCAGTTTAATTATTCCTTGTACTTTATGATAATATATTTTTTCACACTTCATCATTTAGCATTTACTTTGTATGTCTGTGAGTCAGTCACCAGAAATTCTAGGCAATGGGGATGCTGTTGAGAACAAAACAAAACCCCTGCCCTTGAAAGCGCTTACATACAGTGGAGGAATTAGCAGTATTGTTGTTGCTGTTGTTGTTGTTGAATCAGTTCCAACTCCTAACAACCTTGTGTATAACAAAACGAAACACTGCCAGCCCTGTGCCAGCCTCATGATTTCTGTGTTTGAGCCCATTGTTGCAAGTATGCAATAAATAGTCATAGGTACTCCAGAGAAAAAGGAAGCAGGGTTGAAGGGATAGGATAGAGGATTGAGTGGTGTGAAAAGACCCCTCTGAGGTAACATTTGAGCAGATTTGAGCCTTGTGCATGGTTAGAGGGAGAGCCTTCTAGACAGGAAGAAGAGAATGCTGGTCTCATTTGAGGAACATGTAGGGCTTCATGGGTTTGGTCAAGTCTTTGGGTTTTGTCCTAAGTATAAAGGGAACACCATTTGGGATATTGGAGCAAGGGAAGTGGCCTGCTGTGGTCTGCATATTGAAAGGTTGATGCAGGCTGCTGACAGGAGACCAGTGGGAACAAGGAGAGATGCAGGTAGGCCAGTTGGGAAGCTGTTGAAGGCATCAGACAAGAAATGATAACAACTAATATCTGGAAAGGTAAGAAACTGCGAGTTTGAGGATTGATTTTTAAGGTCAAGCTGATAACTTCAATGTGTATTGTGACAGAGAGAAAATTCTACAACTCCAGGGTTGGCTGGGTAGCTCACTGGGGTGAATGAAAAACTTGCTGACATTAATTAAAACCCTTCAGATTAAGAGTCAGTGGCTAAGGTAATAGTTATCCCTTAGTTCAGTTTCCTGAGGTGTTTGAGCAAAGTGTGTAGTGCATGGACCCCGAGGTTGGGCCCTATGAGAACATGGAGAATTGCTTAGGGAACCAAAGAGCTAGAAGATGTGGGGTGCAAGAATGAGACTACACAGCCTGTCCCAGGAGCTGGACCCTCTGACTCCTACCCAAAAAAGCCTCTAGAAACCCTACCTGGGCAGGGTCTGAGTAGATTTAATTCTGTTTGTCATTTTCAAATCTATCTGAATTTACTCTTGGTAAGCTTTCTTATTTAAAGATAATCCCAGTGCTGGGGTGAGACTAACAAACATGTTACAAGTTTTTTAGGTCTTAGGGCACATCCTTGAAAACCCTATACAGGGTCATAATGAATCAGAAATGACTCACCAGCGCTTAACAACAATGATGATGTTTTAAGCATATTGTTTAACTAAAGGAACATATCTTTGATCTCCACCCTTGAAACTGAGCACCCAGGATTGCTGAGATCAGTAATCTGAAAGGAAGAAACCCTCCTAACATAGTGGCTAAGCACTGATTGACTAACCAGAAGGTCAGTGATTCAAACTCACCAGCCACTCCATGGGAGAAAGATAAGGCAGTCTGATTCTGTAAAGACTTACAGCCTCAGTTCTACTCTGTCTTATAGACTCTGTAAGTCAGAGATACAATGAGGAATCTAACTGGAAAAGCTCTGGTGGCACAGTGGTTAAGTGCTCAGCTGCTAAATGAAAAGTAAGCTGTTCAAACACACCAGCTACTCCACCTGCTGCTGGCAATACTACAGCCTTAGATATGCCATAGGTTAGGTCTCCCTTGTCCTCTAGGGTCACCCTGAGTTGGGATCATTCCTAGGGCCTTGAGAGTCTGAAAGGACATTTCTAATGAAATGAATGTAGATTCTGCAAAGGGGCTTAAACTTATCAGCCAGGGTTTTTTGTGGTGGTAGTTTTTATTCCCTAACTGATGTTAACCTACGTATAAGGAATGCTTCTTTTGTACCAAACAGTAGAGAAAAAATAAGTCACTCCAACAGTAAATGCTGAACTAAGACTCATTCTTGAGCTGAATGACTGCAGATCTTATGAACATAACCTTTACAGATGATAGATAGAAAAATAGACATAAGACAGATAGAAATCTGGATTGAAAATCCTAGATGCTTCCTGCTTTCAATAAAATGGCACTGAGAATTCTTTGGAGGAAATCACTCTTGGCCTTTTTATGTTCAGGAGATGTTCATTGCTTAACTTAACAAATATCTCTTCTGTGCCTGCTCTGTGCCAGCCCCTGAGGCCAGAGTAGCAAACAAGAGAGACTCAGTCCCTGCTTACATTCCTGCAGAGTTTGAAAGAAGACGTTAGACATAAACTGCACAATTATTTAATCGCTGTTGTGCCCAGTTAGACAATAAAACCTCAGTTAAGGCGGTCTTCCTGACTAGACATTCAGCTCACCAGACATTGTGGGCCATACTTGGCCTCAAGTTACTCAAAAGGGCCACACCAGGGCCCCTCTTTTATGGAAATAGTCCCCACAATAGCTGACATAGCAACAGCAGCCGTGGTCTTACTGTCACCCCAGCCACAAATGACTGCTCAGGTGCCAAGAAATTAGGTCCATATTGGTGGGTCCCAGACTCTTCTTAGCATAGGAGCGCCATGTCTGGCAGGAGTGGGTATCTTCTGTAAGAACAGGTCTAGCTTCCCAAGGCCCCACAAGGATGGGCCATCTACAAGAACCACTACTCCATAGAAGCTCAGCTATGACAAACCCACCAGGTGTCTATAGTTTGTCACAGGCTCACCATGAATCACAATTGGCTTCGTTTTCTTTGGTTTCTTGTTTATTGCCAACAGTGTTGGTGGCATCCCACCATTATCAGGTTTCCAGGGAACAAGGCTAGAGATTCACCTAAGGCCAAATCAGTCCTTAGAGAAGGGGCAAAGAGTTTTGTTTTTCTTAGTCTTACTTTTGTTGTAAGTGCTGCCAAGGGCAGGTACAGAGTGTGATGAGCACAGTGACTGAGGAGCCAATGCCATCCCTGGTCACTCATGCATTCACTGTGCACAATGTGAAATGGTGCCCAGAGAGGTTTGGAACACTGACAGCCTCTTCATTTTTCAGACCAGTCATCATGGTGAAGAGTGGCTTGGGCTGCTGGATCCTGCTTCTCTTCATGGCCACCTGGAGTGACGTGGGCCTCTGCAAAAAGCGACCGAAGCCCGGAGGAGGATGGAACACTGGGGGGAGCCGATACCCAGGGCAGGGGAGTCCTGGAGGCAACCGCTATCCACCCCAAGGAGGTGGAGGCTGGGGACAGCCTCATGGAGGTGGCTGGGGACAGCCCCATGGTGGCGGTGGCTGGGGACAACCCCATGGTGGTGGTGGCTGGGGTCAAGGTGGCTCCCACAATCAGTGGAACAAGCCCAATAAGCCAAAAACCAATATGAAGCACATGGCAGGGGCTGCCGCAGCTGGAGCAGTAGTGGGGGGCCTTGGGGGATACATGCTAGGGAGTGCCATGAGCAGGCCTCCCATGCATTTTGGTAACGACTACGAGGACCGCTACTACCGTGAAAACATGAACCGTTACCCCAACCAAGTATACTACCGACCCGTGGATCAGTACAACAACCAGAACAACTTCGTGCACGACTGTATCAACATCACCGTCAAGCAGCACACGACCACCACCACCACCAAAGGGGAGAACTTCACTGAGACCGACATAAAGATCATGGAGCGCGTGGTCGAGCAAATGTGCATTACCCAGTACGAGAAAGCATCCCTGGAATACCATAGAGGATCTAGTGTGGTCCTCTTCTCCTCCCCTCCTGTCATCCTCCTCATCTCCTTCCTCATTTTCCTTATAGTGGGATGAGCAAAGTCTCCCCATTGTCACCATCTTGCTAACCTTTCACCTGGTGGGGAGGGGGTATCAACCTGCTGGCCTGTTAGCAATGGTATTTCATACTTGCTTATCTCCTTGTCACCCATGAGTTCCTGACCTGGGCACTGATGGCACAGTGGGGACTGGGGCGTGGGTCCAGGATGTTATTTCTTCGAGCTCTGGATTGAATCCTTCCTAGGAGGCAGAGCTGATGCAGGACTGGTCAGAGAATGACAGTAAATGTTTCTTTGCTAATCTAGGATTTCATTTTTTTATTTTTTCTCTAGTACAATAGGATGTGGCTAGAGCAAATCTAGCCATCATCACATGCCTTTGCCTAAATATTTCCAGTTCCCTCCCCAGCATCAACCCAGCACATAAATGCCCCATCTTAGCAGTGATGTCATAGCAATTTGGAGAAATTTCTCATCCATTTTAAGACAGCCTCACAGTATCTCAAGCAGCATTTTTGCCAGATCCGGAAGGAGGCCACGTGATACTCAAAAACAAAATGAGAAATCCTTCTATCTAGGTTGTGGGCTCAGCCTGTTGGAGATCAGGTACCCTGGGCCTACAGAATGGTTGATGGTGCTTTTGCATTTCACAGCACAGCCACCTTTGCATCAGGAAGTAAGCATACCAGGGACATGTGTACGGAACTGGAAAAAAGTCAACATTTAGGACAAGTGCTCAGAGAGTGAATCTCATTTTTCTGACCTACCTGTGGCATTCTATTCTTTAGTTAATAGAATAAACTATAGATAATTATGACATCAAAACCTAAATTGCATTCTGGATACTGAAGGCAAGCCTTTGTTCATTGCTATGTAAACCTGAAGCCTAGAGAGTGGACCATAGAGGAAGCTGCAACTGGACAAGCCTGGTTCTCATCGAAGATGTGTAATGAAGAAAACAGGTAGGGTGTACACATTGTTGTCACATAATTGTCAGAAATCAAAATTAGACCAATTCTTTTTAGTTTCTGTAATTGGCTTTTGAAATCAAAGAATAGGGAGAGAACCCCTTCCACCCACCCCACCTCACCCCCAAAAGCTTAGGATTTAGGTTGGAGATGACATAGGTATGATCTACTCAAATTGGAAAAACAATTGCTGTCCATGCTACTTAAGGCAAAATTAATCTCGTAATTGTTCAATATTGTCACTTAGTGAATCTGTATTACTATTCTGCAATGTTATTGGCTTGCACTATGTGGGTGTTGTATGTTTTTAAAAAAAACGTGTATATAGCTATTGCATATGGTAAACTTAGAAGTTTTGTTTAGATCAGTTAAACTTCTGAAGTATCTAATGTATTAACTTTTTGTAAGATACTGAATACTGAATATGTGGGAACCCCTTCTGCACAGTTCTTGGGTTCACAATGTGCACTGAATCGTTTTATAGAAGAATCTAAAATATACACCATTCATTGGTCTTTGAACGTGCATGTACTCAATATTTTCTATATTTGTAACATTGCATGTACTTATTTTGATGTATAGAGACTTTCCAAATGTTTAATATAACTAAAAATAAACGAGAGCTAAAATGAGTATTATCTGGGCAATTAGCAGTGCTTTTCTCAGGATGGCCTTGGAAGCTAATCTGAGCAAAGTGACCCTCTCAGTCCTCATACTTTGGGTGATGGTCCATGTTTCCTGGATCTGTTCCTGATCTTACCCTCCTTCTTACTTCCCAGTCACATACCAGTTTATTTCTGCTGCCTTTCCCTTTACCCACATGTATGTATCTAAATGTGTCTACAAAAAAGAACTCTGCCATAGGGTTTTCTTGGTTGAATATTTCTATAAAGAGATCCCCAGACTTTTCTTCCACTAACCCCACTTCTTGTTGCCAAGTACCTTTGAGTCAGTTCCAACTCACAGTGACCCTGTTTACAGTTTCCAAGGTAGGTTTGAACCACTGACCTTGCTGTACTTATTCTACAATGCCACACCAGGACTCCTAACCACCAACTTTTAGGTTGATGTTGTTGTTGTTGTTGTTAGGTGCTGACAATTCCATTTCAACTCATAGCAACCCTGTGGTACAACAGAACAATACGCTGCCTGGTCCTATCCTTGCATCACCTGGGGACCTGGGGAAATGACAGCTGGGGGAATGCAGTGCTTGTATTCCAGACACTTTTTTTTTTTTTTTTTTTCCTGTCTTGGATTTAAAACTAGAGAACTTTCTTGATTGAAATGAAGCTTAAGTTGTAAATGCCACCTTTATGTTCCCCTAACTCAGTCTATAAAATATTCTCAAGTCCTGTAAGCCTCAAGTGACAATCTCTCGATGCTGTTAGGTACAAAAGGCCATTTTCATTTGTTACAATCTTTTCCAACTCATTCTACACATTTCCTGCTTTCTTACTAAATGGTTTGATGATATGATACTACTCAGAAGTATCATTTTGCAACTGTAATTTATTAAAGATGAAGAAATGGCAATTAGAATCAATATTAATAAGTTAGCAAATAACAATACTCTGTAGTGGTCAGAGGAACAATTTTATTAAAATGGAAAGATGTAAATCAGCACTTTGAAATCCCATCATTCACAAAACTATTAAGACAAATAGCATACAAATTCTGAAAAGCATCATTCATTTTATAAATTGACCACAAAGTTGATAAATATTTCTAGAACTAATTTCTCTCTTAATTTTTTTTGCAATTCTAATCACTTAAATGAAGTTGTGGTGTGGTGCTGTAGGATAGGCTGTAGGTTGTTTTGAATCACAAGGTCAATGGTTTAAACTCACCAGCGGCTCCTCAGAAACCCTATACAGGTCGCTATGAGTCTGAACAGATGCACTGGCACTTACCATCAAACAATTACTTAAATATAAACTCTCCATTATCTGCCAATCATAATTTCTCCCCCAAAAAAAGCCAACTTGAATTGTTGAAAGCATAACTATTTGAAGTCCTGGTTAATGCCCTGGGCCACAAAGTCACTTTGAACAGCAAGGTTGGTGGTTCAAGCTCACTTTGAACAGCAAGGTTGGAGGTTCAGCTGCTCCTCAGAAACCCTATACAGGGTCGCTATGGGTTGGTACCGATTCGACAGCACTCACCAACAGTAAGAACAGATTTGAAGGGTTACAGTGAATAATCATTTTATCTTTCCCAGGCTGCTCAGGTTTTTCCCCTGTTACTTCTAGCCCCTGTGAGTTGGAGTTGTACAAAAAGAATTTTTACTAAGAAATGAAGAAAAAAAGAACTCAAGGTTAGAAAGCATATGTGACCAACATAAGCATAACTGAATCTGACCCCAGAGGAAGTTCTTCCAAAAAGCCATCAGGTTCCATCCCTCCTGAGGCTGACACCTCTGTCTTTAGAAGTTGGATCTGTATCGCTTCCCACTCTAGTGGGAACCTTAATCCCAGCCAGAACCTGTGCTTTCTGGTTGCTTCACCAGGCTCCTACCAACTAACCTCGGTATCCTGTGATTCATAACCACCTAAGAAAGGTCCATTCCTCCCTGGTTCCCAAATCTGCTCCCCTGGGTTCCAGCTGTTTCTGAATTAACCTGATGTTTTCACCTTTTGCCCAGTGCTGTGAGTCTTACCTATGACCTTCAGTGAAACCATGTTTCCACTCTCCTTGTACCTCTGCTGCCACAGAATTTCCTCTTCCCCAAGAGCTTTCTTGTTTAGGAACAATGATCCTCAAACTTTCATGTGCACTTGAGTCTGCACATCCTGACTCAGTCAGTCTGGGGTGGGATTTAGAATTCCATGTTTCTCACAAGCTCCTAGGTGATGTTGGTGCAGCTGGTCAGAAGATACGACTATGAATAACAAAGATCAAGGAGTTCTGGTAGTGTAGTGGTTACGAATTGGGCTGTGAACCGCAAGGTTAGCAGTTCAAAACTACCAGCTGTTCTGCGGGAGAAATATGAGGCTTTCTGCTCCCGTAAAGATTTACAGCCTTGGAAACCCTGTACAGGGTTGCTAGGAGTCGGAACCGATTCCATAGCACATAACCACCACCACAGTGGTTCTTCACATTTGAGCGCCATCAAAATCCCCTAGGAGACTTGTTCATTTAAGCACAGCTTGTTGAGCCCAGTCCCAGAGATACTGAGTCAGGAGGCCTGGGATGGGGTCCAATAGTTTGCGTTTCTAACTGATCCCCAGATGGGACTGATGGAGATGATGCCGTTGCTCAATTGTTAAGTGCCATCAAGTCCAGTCCAACTCAGTAATCCTGTATGAAGTTTCCGAGGAGCAACTGGTGGGTTTGAACTGCCAACATTGTGGTTAGTTGTTGCTGTTAAGTGCCTTCAAGTTGGTTCTGACCCATAGCAACCCTACATAGGGTTTCTGAGGCCCAGATGGTAAACTTGAACCACCGACTTTGTGGTTCAAACCAACTTTGCGGTCCAGTGCATTAACCCACAGTGCCACACTAGGACCTCTTGTGGTTAGTAGTCCAATGCTTATCCTACAGTGCCACACCAAGACTCCATTGCAAAAGAAATAAGCAACTGTCCAGGCTTTGAAATACCAACAAAATCCACCTGTGGAATAGGAACCTGAAAACTCTCCCTGGAAGGAGGCAAGAACTGAAAGCTGTAGGGGTGAAGGAGGTGCAGGCAGGTGTAAGGAGGTGAAAATTCTTCCCCTCTGAGAAGAAGGTAACAATATTCATTGCTGTTATTGTTAGTTGCATTAGCGTCAATTTCAGCTCATGGTGAGCCCATGTGTATAGAGTAGAACTGCTCCACAGAATTTTAAAGGCTGTGAACTTTCAAAAGTGGATTCTTCCGAGGTGTTTCTGGGTGGGTTGAACCTCCAAACTTTCAACTAGTAGTTGAGCATTTAGCTGTTTGCACCACCCAGGGGCTTCAGGGCCCACATTAGTGAGAGAGTCAGCAAAATGCATAAATAGTACCCATGGAGCTAAGGCAGCAGCACTTCTTAAACACTGATGTGCACACGAATTGGCTCTGGAGTCCTGGTGAGGCACTCTGGGTTAA